CTCTAGCTGACACTCTGGGATTCTTCTTTACCTCATGGAGCATTCTGCGCTGTGCTCTTGCAGTCATTTTTACAGGACGACTGCGCCTAGGGAGAGTAGCAACAACAGTGCCTAAACTTTCTCCATTTGTAGACAGTCTGTCCTTACCGTGGACACATTGAACATCAAGGCTTTTTGGAGATACTTTTGTAACCCTTTCCAGCTTCATGCAAGTCAACAATTCTTGATGTGTAGGTCTTCTGAGAGCTCTTTTTTCTGCGAGGATCCATGGTTCACATCAGACAGTGCTTCTTGAAACCAGTAAACCCAAAACAGGTGTGTGTTTTTTAAGGGCAGGACAGCTGTCAGCAACACATCCAATATCATCACACTGATTGGAGTCAAGGTTGGTGGTTAGGAATGGACTGGCCAGCAATGGTGGGACTCGACCTGCCTTTTGATCTGCAGTACCAGGGCTGGCCAGCGGGTGCTCCCAGCAATCAGAGGCTCAACCTTTCAGCCATCTACACCTGGAATGATGATTGCTTGTGGTTATTTAAGGGATCGGACATGACTTGCAGACTCTGCCTTGGTGTTGTGTTTGTCCTGGGCCCTGTATCTGTCCTGCATCCTGTATTCTGTTCCTTTGCTGACTTCTTCCTGTCTCTGATCCTGGCTTTGTGACCCTGACCATTCCTCTGTCCTGACCCTCTGTACTAACGGCTGCTTGCTACCTGTTCTGATCCCTGGCTTGTGACCCGGACCCATCCCTCTGTATGAACCCTCTGTACTTTGCTGCTTGCAACCTGCTGAACCTGGCCTGTGACAGTATTGCACTGCGTTTATGTTTGTATTGTTAGTGTTAATAAATTATATTGTTTATAACACAATCTGAGGTCTGCGTTTCCCTGCTTCAGTCACACACCTCTGGTCATACCTGGGAGCCCTGACATTACACCAAGGCCAATCCTGACCAGAAGTGGTGCACAGGGAAGCCATCTTGGCTTGTTGATGGGAAGGATGGATCTGGATGAGGTTGAGTATTTATCTCTGCTAGTGCTTGATGACAGAGAGTATGCTTATCAGACTCTGAAGGAGTATCCCGGGATGAACTGCTAGAATGTATACGGCTCGCTCATGTTCTAGTAGATCAGGGCACAGTTTTCTCTATGGTGCAGCCATTGATTCAGGTTTGTGTTGAGTTGGTTTCATCTGGTTTTCCCCGAATGCAGGGATGAATTTTTGCCACCATTTAGTGCAGACCAGGTAGAGTCCCTGGTGTGGTTATTAGAGGATGATGTGGGTTACTTTCTGGAGCGTTATTCCACATGTTCACCACAGACACTGCAAAGATTGTATAAACGCAGTGCAGTCATTGACCAGACAGACTTTGTGTAAGCTGAGCTTTGTTCAACCCATACTGCAGACATGGACAGACTTGTTGCACCCAGCCTCAGTCAGCTTACAAAGACCCAGTCCTGTTTCTAACTCTACTCCTGTATTCCCACCAGCTCCTCCAGTTACAGCCCAGTATACTTGGCTATCTACCGCATGTCAGTACCCTATTCCCACTCGCTGCACCTATCCTGCCTTTAACCCTGTAAAAAAGCCCTCTGTAGCAACTGCTCCCTCTCCTGTTCCATCCTCCAGTTCTTCTCTGTCTCCAGCTGCTCCATTCGTTTGCAGACCTGCGTTTACTTGCAGTGCTCCAGTAATTAAAACCAGAAAAAAGCGAAAATTCTTTCCAACCAATACCATCCTGCCAGTATCCAAACCGGTGAACCAGCCTGAAGCCTCTACTCAGCCTGAAGCCTCTACTCAGCCGGATGCCTCTCTTCAGCCGGATGCCTCTCTTCAGCCGGATGTCTCTCTTCAGCCGGATGCCTCTCTTCAGCCGGATGCCTCTCTTCAGCCGGATGCCTCTCTTCAGCCTGATGCCCCTCTTCAGCCTGATGCCCCTCTTCAGCCTGATGCCCCTCTTCAGCCTGATGCCTCTCCTCAGCCTGATGCCTCTCCTCAGCCTGATGCCTCTCCTCAGCCTGATGCCTCTCCTCAGCCTGATGCCTGCATTCAGCCTGATGCCGCTACTCAGCAGGATGAACTGATCCAGCCCGACGAGCCTATTAGGCCAGTTGACTCGATGCCCGCTGTTGATCCAGATGATCCGGTACCTGATCCAGTGCCCGCTGTCGTGCCAATTGACTCAGAGCCCGCTGTCATACCTGGTGACCCGGTGCCCACTGCCTTGCCAGATGACGCGGTGCCCGCTGGCAAGCCAAATGACCTGATGCCTGGTGACCCAGTGCCCGCTGTCATACCTGGTGACCCGATGCCCGCTGTCGAGCCAGACAATCCGGTACCTGATGCCCCGGTGCTCACTGTCGTGCCTGTTGACTCGGAGCCCACTGCCTTGCCAGATGACGCGGTGCCCGCTGTCGAGCCAAATGACCTGATGCCTGGTGACCCAGTGCCCGCTGTCCAGTCAGACGATCCAATGTCTGACCCAGTGCCCGCGGTCATACCAGTTGACTCGGAGCCCACTGCCTTGCCAGATGACGCGGTGCCCGCTGACAAGCCAAATGACCTGATGCCTGGTGACCCAGTGCCCGCCTGTCATACCTGGTGACCCGATGCCCGCTGTCGAGCCAGACGATCCAATGCCTGGTGACGCGGTGCCCACTGCCTTGCCAGATGACCTGATGCCTGGTGACCCAGTGCCCGCTGTCATACCTGGTGACCCGATGCCCGCTATCGAGCCAGACAATCCGGTACCTGATGCCCCGGTGCTCACTGTCGTGCCTGTTGACTCGGAGCCCACTGCCTTGCCAGATGACGCGGTGCCCGCTGACAAGCCAATGACCTGATGCCTGGTGACCCAGTGCCCGCTGTCCAGTCAGACGATCCAATGTCTGACCCAGTGCCCGCGGTCATACCAGTTGACTCGGAACCCACTGCCTTGCCAGATGACGCGGTGCCCGCTGTCGAGCCAAATGACCTGATGCCGGGTGACCCAGTGCCCGCTGTCCAGTCAGACGATCCAATGTCTGACCCAGTGCCCGCGGTCATACCAGTTGACTCGGAGCCCACTGCCTTGCCAGATGACGCGGTGCCCGCTGTCGAGCCAAATGACCTGATGCCTGGTGACCCGATGCCCGCTGTCCAGCCAGACGATCCAATGTCTGACCCAGTGCCAGCGGTCATCCCAGTTGACTCGGAGCCCACTGTTGTGCCCGCCGCCCCGCCTGGGGGCCCGAGACCTGTCGTTCCGCCTAAGGGCCCGAGACCTGTCGCTCCGCCTGGGGGTCCGGCACCTGCCACTCCGCGCTTGAGGGCCCGAGACCTGTCGCTCCTCCTGGGGGGTCCGGCGTCCGCCGCTCCGCCTGAGGGCCCGAGACCTGTCGCTCCACCTGGGGGTCCGGCGCCCACCGCTCCGCCTGAGGGCCCGAGACCTGTCGCTCCACCTGGGGGTCCGGCGCCCGCCGCTCCGCCTGAGGGCCCGAGACCTGTCGCTCCACCTGGGGGTCCGGCGCCCACCGCTCCGCCTGAGGGCCCGAGACCTGTCGCTCCATCTGGGGGTCCGGCGCCCGCCGCTCCGCCTGAGGGCCCGAGACCTGTCGCTCCACCTGGGGGTCCGGCGCCCGCCGCTCCGCCTGAGGGCCCGAGACCTATCGCTCCATCTGGAGGTCCGGCGCCCGCCGCTCCGCCTGAGGGCCCGAGACCTGTCGCTCCGCCTGGGGGTCCGGCGCCCGCCGCTCCGCCTGGGGGCCCGATGCCTGTCGCCCCGCCTGGGGGCCCGATGCCTGTCGCCCCGCCTGGGGGCACGAGGCCTGTCGCCCCGCCTGGGGGCCCGATGCCTGTCGCCCCGCCTGGGGGCCCGAGGCCTGTCGCCCCGCCTGGGGGCACGAGGCCTGTCGCCCCGCCTAGGGGCCCGATGCCTGTCGCCCCGCCTGGGGGCCCGATGCCTGTCGCCCCGCCTGGGGGCCCGGTGCCTGTCGCCCCGCCTGGGGGCCCGGTGCCTGTCGCCCCGCCTGGGGGCCCGGTGCCTGTCGCCCCGCCTGGGGGCCCGGTGCCTGTCGCCCCGCCCGGGGGCCCGGTGCCTGCTGCCCCGCCCGGGGGCCCGGTGCCTGCTGCTCCGCCCGGGGGCCCGGTGCCTGTCGCCCCGCCCGGGGGCCCGGTGCCTGTCGCCCCGCCCGGGGGCCCGGTGCCTGTCGCCCCGCCCGGGGGGCCCGGTGCCTGTCGCCCCGCCCGGGGGCCCGGTGCCTGTAGCCCCGCCCGGGGGCCCGGTGCCTGCTGCTCCGCCTGGTGGCCCGCTGCCTGCTGCTTCGCCTGGTAATCCGATGTGCCTCTGCCCGGAGTCCTGCCCGATGTGCCTCTGCCCGGAGTCCTGCCCGATGTGCCTCTGCCCGGAGTCCTGCCCGATGTGCCTCTGCCCGGAGTCCTGCCCGATGTGCCTCTGCCCGGAGTCCTGCCCGATGTGCCTCTGCCCGGAGTCCTGCCCGATGTGCCTCTGCCCGGAGTCCTGCCCGATGTGCCTCTGCCCGGAGTCCTGCCCGATGTGCCTCTGCCCGGTGTGCCTCTGCTCGATGTGCCGCTGCCCGGAGTCCAGCCCGGTGTGCCGCTGCCCGGGAGTCCTGCCCTGTGTGCCAGTCTTTGATATCCCGCCAGTTGCCAGACCCGGGCGGTGGAACATTTTGCCCAGCTAGGACTGTTTGGAGCGTCCTGAGGCCCGCTCCTTGAGGGGGGGGGGTACTGTTAGGAATGGACTGGCCAGCAATGGTGGGACTCACCTGCCTTTTGATCTGCAGTACCAGGGCTGGCCAGCGGGTGCTCCCAGCAATCAGAGGCTCAACCTTTCAGCCAGCTACACCTGGAACTGATGATGCTGGGGTATTTAAGGGATGGACAGACTTGCAGACTCTGCCTTGGTGTTGTGTTTGTCCTGGGCCCTGTATCTGTCCTGCATCCTGTTTCTGTTCCTTTGCTGACTTCTCCTGCTCTGATCCTGGCTTGTGACCCTGACCATTCCTCTGTCTGACCCTCTGTACTACGCTGCTTGCTACCTGTTCTGATCCCTGGCTTGTGACCGGACCATCCCTCTGTCTGACCCTCTGTACTTTGCTGCTTGCTACCTGCTGAACCTGGCCTGTGACCCCGACTATTCTCCGCTTGCTCCCCCTGTACCTTCCTGCCCAATTGATATTGACCCGGCCTGCCTGACGACGCTTGCTTGTATGTACTGTTATCTGTGGGTGGTTGGTTTGGTTTGTTTGCACTGTATTATGTTTAGTATTGCACTGCGTTTATGTTTGTATTGTTAGTGTTAATAAATTATATTGTTTATAACATATCTGAGGTCTGCGTTTCCCTGCTTCAGTCACACACCTCTGGTCATACCTGGGAGCCCTGACATTTGGCTCACTCCTGGCTCCAATTAGCTCTGGGAGAAGTCATTAAGCTAGGGCCTCACATACTTTTTCCTCCCTGCACTGTGAATTTTTACATGTTATGTGCAATTAAACCATGACAACATCTAATGCTTGTGTATTATTATGTTCAGCAGACTGTGTTCTTCTATTGTTGTGACTTAGATGACGTTCAGAGCACATTTTATGCTCAATTCATGCAAAACTCCACGTAATCCCAAGGGGTTCACATACTTTTTCTTGCAACTGTATCTCATAAATAAGACTCAATACTTATAGCTGCATGAAAAACTGGAAATAAGCATTAAGAAAAACATGACAAATGTAGAACCAATACAAATAGGCTCACCCCACCACATTACATGGCGGAATGAGAAAGAATATAATAAAATAAGAAAAGGTATAAAGAAAAACAGGAGGAGAAGGAGAAGGAGAAGGAGATCCCACGTTTTGTCAAATTTAGTATTCTTGTTGTGTAGAAGGCAATTAAGCTTATCATTGATCATAATCCAGTTTAAGTTATTTTTAACATAGTCAAGTGGAATAAGGGAACTTTGCCAATGTCTAGCTATAGTAATTCTAGCTGCTAACAGCATATAGGTAAGCAGTTTCAGGGAGTTCTTTGTTATTACAGTGGGAAATTTATGGAAGAGGGCTGTCTCCGGAGCCCTACCGACATTCACCCCCGTCACCGTATATATTAAATTAAATATGAGGATCCAAAATCTAGTTACTATTGGACATTGCCACCACACGTGAAACATAGACCCTGTTTGGCCACAATTACGAAAGTACAATGGGACTGAGTTGGGACCAAGTACCACCGCAATAAAGTTTTATAATTCGCTTCAATTAAGGTGGTGTTGATAGAAACTTTGGATAGTGCTAGGGCGATATCTCGCCAGTCTGAAATTTCATGACTGACATTCAGGTCCCGTTCCCAATGATCCATAAAGGGGAGTTTCCAACTCGGATCGAAGAGAATGGCATACACTGTAGAAATACAACCTCTAGAGGAATTGGTACTTTGACAGGAAACTTCGAAAGAAGCAAGAATGGGTGGTTCGTCCAATAAGGCAATTTTCGAGCAGACAAAAGAAGCAATTTGGGAAAATCTAAAAATTTCAGTGGGAGGCATCTGCAATTTTTCCTTAAGATATTGAAGAGAGTAAATTTGGTCACTCCGGAGAAAATCACCTATCCTCAATAACCCTTTATTAATCCACCATTGAAACTCAGATGGGACCAGGCCATGTAAAAATTCAGGATTACAGAACACAGGGGCTAAAGGTGTGTGTAAGGAGGCTAGGGAATTGCGATGGCGTACCCTATCCCAGACCGACAACGAAAAAGAGAACGTAGGACATAATATAGCAGGGCAAGATCGACTAGGGAGCCAAATTAGAGCACCAACCGCTAAGGGATGGCAAGAAAGAGCTTCAATAGAAACCCAGAGGGGAATAGCTCCCTTAGCAGTAGTGTATGCCAATTGTGCAATCTGGGCAGCTTGGAAATATGAGTGATGATTTGGGAGGCCAAGCCCACCCTGAGATTTCAAGGCGTCATTTTGATAGAGTTAAAGCGTCCTTTGGTTCATCCGGGGCCTTTGATTGTTCCAAACAAAACGAAGCACCTCGGCCTGTAAATGTTGGAACTCTTGGAATCAGAATTGGTAAGGTTCTAAAAAAAGAAAAAATAATTGAGGCAAACACGTCATTTTGATAGAGTTGATCCTGCCAAACCAAGAAACAGGGTAAGTAGCACAACAGTGGAGGTCTTCGCTAGTTATAGGTTCTTGGAGATGGTAACCTTGAGATAGTGTTTCCATAAGTTCCCTGTGAGCCCCAGCAGGGCCTGGAAGCCGTAACGGTCCCAAAACAATCATGAAGCAAAGAGGGCTCTACAGGTTGGGGTTAGCTATATAACATAGTATAGAAATTATTAAATTCCTGAAGGATTTTCTGAGGGTCCTGTGAAATGTTACCTCCCGAAACCCGAAGTTTAGGAAAGGGCCAAATAGGCGTGCTTAGGAGAAAGCATATGCGCCAAAAGAGAACCGGGCTTGTCCCGCCAGGTGAAGAATTTATGGTTCAGCCATTGTAGCTCTTTTTCCACTTTCATGGTGAGACAAAGATTAAGTCCTAGTTGAGCCTGTTCCACCTTAAGCAACAGGTCCGAGGATCGGACATTTTTTGTGTTGTGCTAGCAAAGCCTCGTATTCCCTAGTTTTGGCAAAAGTCAACTCGTCACAAGATCGCTTAAGCCTAGAGGATAGTTGAGTAAAAAAACCTCTGACAGAGGCTTCATGAACTGCCCCACTAGTTGA